GTCCCCTACAACAGCAGGTTACATCTTGTAGCAAATGAGCAGCTCTGATTGCTGAGCATCTCGCAGTGTCCCATCCCTGTGGTGCTTCAGGCCATTCTGCTCAACTAATTTATGCTAATAAACTACTCCATTCCTTAATGTTTTATCCAGCGCAATGGACTTGTCTGGGTCACTTGTGCCCCTGTGGTTATTCTTTCCAGGCTTCAGTGGGGCCGTTTGCACCTGAGGCTTGAGTAACATCTTGGGAAGAAGTCTGTAGTTCTGTCTAGTGCTGGCAGACGTGCAGAAATAAGCTTGAAATTTTATTTTGAGTTCCCTTATAGATCAGTATGTGTTAGGTGGGCATTGGGAGCACCCACCAGAGCAATCTAGAAGACTTGGGGTTTTTTTCTATGCTGATGTTTTAGATCTCAGCACCATCAAACTAATCTTTGTAGCCTTTTCACCACTTTTCATGACTTCAGCTTTAAAATATTGCTAGATTTCATAAATTAGCAAGGAATCACAGATTCATCTTCCCATTGACTGGAAGCTGTTGAGACTTTACATGGCGCAACCCATCAAATGTGCTGCAAAAACAGTGTTTGGGGGTAGGAGGAGGACAGGGGGTTGGGGGACATTAAAGTCTTTTGGCTGTTGAGACTTTACGTGGTGTAACCTATCCGATGTGCTGCAAAAGCAGTGTTTGGGGACAGGAGGAGGACAGGGGGTTGGGGGGCATTCAAATCTTTTCAGGAAATGAGGGAAAAGATCATGATCACGTTTCAGCCTCACTATTAAAAATGTCGTTAAACCATTGCTGCATTACAGACCAGTAAGGTTGTGTTACTCAGTTTCAGGATTACTAGCTCAATGATAAACTCCCAGAAGTTTATAATTCTATTTTTTTTTTTCCTTCTGGGTGTAATGTAGTGATATCTGTAATAGGGAATACATACTCCATCCAGTATCTTTTCCCAGTAATCCCTTTTTAAATTAGGGCTATGTTGGTATAGTTAGTCCTTACTAACTATGCATAGATTTCATTGTTTGTCTTTTTAATTTAAAAAAATGGCTAGAACTTTGGTTTTTTTGGGTGTTCACGTAGTCTTTCTGCTTGGAATAAATGGTAGCCAGTCCTTCAGATTGCTCCTGCTGTGAGGTTTTCCAGAGTGCAGCCGTTCAGTAATACAATTGCTCGCTGCGCTGCTGACAATTACAGCGTATCCTGCGTTAACGGCGGTTCAGAAGGTCAGTGGCAAATGTTGGGTGGCTTTTCTTACTGCAGCTGTTGTGGCTGAGCACACCCGGGCAGTGATAGGGCAGCACTGCTATAGGATAACAGCATATATTACATGTCATCTGGCTCCACATGCCCAAACTAAACCCTATTATATACTTTTTCGATCCTCTCAGTCCGTAGGATGCTCCTGGTGCTTCGCTCATGGCTTCTTTCAGCAGCAGCGTTTGGCCTTTGAGGTGCAATAATAGATTTCCCAAAGATCTGACAATTTAATGGGAAAACAATCTGTCAGCACTCAAAATGGGTAGAGGAGTTTCATTATGGACGTACTGTGTCTAAACTGGGGCTCAAATAAATTCGCTTTTGTTGTAAATGCCAGCTGCCCTTCTCCTCTGAGTGTGGTTCTTCTGGTGGCAGGGCTGGTTGTACGCAGATGCTCCCGCCGGTCATAGAATCATTGAATTGTCCAGGTTGGAAGGGACCTTTAAGATCATTTAGTCCAACCATTAAAAAAAAAATAAAAATAAATAAACAGACCACACACACACACCCCAACACTAAACCATATTCCCTTCTCTGGACACGCTCCAGCCCCTCAAGGTCTTTTTTTGTGGTGAGGGGCCCAAAACTGGTCACAGCCCTCGAGGTGAAGCCTCACCAGTGCCCAGGACAGGGGGACAATCACTTCTCGGGTCCTTTAAGATCATCCAGTCCAACCATTAACCTCACTCTGATAACACCCATCGCTAACCCATGTCTCTAAGCACTATGTCAAAGAATCTTATAAATACCTCCAGGGATGGTGCTTCCACCCCTTCCCTGGGCAGCCCATTCCAAGGCTTAACAACCCTTTCAATGTAAAAATTGTTCCTAATCTCCAATCTGAACCTCCCCTGGTGCAACTTGAGGCCATTTCCTCCTGTCCCATCAACTGTTCCTTGGGAGAAGAGACCAACCACAGCCTCTCTACACCCTCTTTTCAGGGAGTTGTAGAGAGATTCCACCCTGTTCCCACTTTTCTACTTTGAAAGTTTAATCCTTGACTGTGCTGGTATGTCCATACCTCAGTTCAGTCTGGCCAGACCTACTGCAAATGTCCCTCAGCCCCCAGAGGAGGTGTTATGGATAGATGCTCCCCTCGGATCCAGAGTCACTAACCCACCAGTGTCATCGCTGGCCAGTTGGGTAGGTTGGACCTATTCAGAGCATTAATGGATTAGAAACCTTGCTATAGGCAGGAAGTGTAAGGAAAATATTTGGGCAGAGTTAATTTTACTGGAGTTTCAGAATTTTATCAAATTCAGCTTTTCCGTGGTCCTTCAAAGCAGGGCTTGGCAGCAGAAGAAAAGGAATGGCACGTGTGAGAGAAATCCAGGACTTCTGCTTTATTGCACTGACAGAACCAAATTGTTCAATCTGTTGCCTCATCTGTTTCTTGCCGTAGCTGGGAGTTGTAAAGGTCAGGCCATCGCAGCACAAAGAATATAATAGTTACCATGCTGCATCTCGCCGTGTCACCAGCTGGCTACTGCCTCTTCCTCCCATCCAACATCCAGGCTCTTTCCCAAAAAACGTCAGCAGAGTCCTCTTGCCTATTTTGGGAACGTGTCAAAGTCAAAAAGTTTGGGGAGGTGGCGACGTGGGATGCCCGGGGATGGGCCATGGGCTCAGCTGCTCTTCCAGAGGGATGCAGTGATTCTCAGTTTGAAGTCATTCTCCTCACCGTGAGAGGGGCAACTTTGTGGGGGTCCCTTTTTTCTGAGGAAAAAGGACCTTTGGGTATGGACACGGCTACAAGGCAGTAGGTGGTGTATGAAAATCACTGTGAATATACATGAATAGTGAGATAAGGAGTGATACAAATAAATATGTATGAAACTCACTGCTATGGAAGACCTTTCCTCTTTAAATCTGATCTTCAGGGTGACATCTGATGTACCCATCTCTCTTGAAAATATCCGATGGGTGCACAGGCACAGTTAAGGTGTTGAAGTCATTCTCCTCACCGTGAGAGGGGCAGCTTTTTGGGGGTCCCTTTTTTCTGAGGAAAAACATCCTTTGGGTATGGACACGGCTACAAGGCAGTAGGTGGTGTATGAAAATCACTGTGAATATACATGAATAGTGAGATAAGGAGTGATACAAATAAATATGTATGAAACTGACCGCTATGGAAGAGCTTTCCTCTTTAAATCTGATCTTCAGGGTGACATCTGATGTACCCATCTCTCTTGAGAATATCCGATGGGTGCACAGGCAAATTTAAGGTGCTTTATCATCCTCCTGACCCTTCCTCAGTTTAGAACTGAGTCCTCTGGCTCTTCTATCTCCCTGTTTTTCCATATTTTTGATATGTATTAAATGATGAAGCTCACATGAAGATTAACAACACTCATTTAGCAATATTTGACAGGATAAAAACAGAAGTAAAAGCCAGTTATTCCTCCCTTCCAGTATTTTTTTAGCGGTTTTGCATCCTGACAACCCTTTCCCTTTGCAGAAACCAGATCGGTGCTTCATATCACGTTAAAACTATGAAGTTTACTCCACTTTGAGGTGCCTCAGTGTGTTAGCATTTGCTGGGTTTTGCTATAGGTTGTCAGGAGCCATCGATGAATCAATGATGTTTGTATTTTAAAAGATAAAATTAAATTCAAAAGTTCAGAAAGTTTTGCTTTTAAGAATAAAGAATTAATATGTGTTAAATGATGAAGCTTGCATGAAGATTAACAACACTCATTTAGCAGTATTTGACAGGATAAAAACAGAAGTAAAAGCCTCCCTTCCAGTATTTTTCCTCCCTTCCCGTATTTTTTTAGCAGTTTTGCATCCTGACAACCCTTTACCTTTGCAGAAGCCAGATCAGTGCTTCATATCACATTAAAACTATGAAGTTTGCTCCACTTTGAGGTGCCTCAGTGTGTTGGCATTTGCTGGGTTTTGCTAGAGGTTGTCAGTAGCCATTGATGAATCAATGATGTTTGTAATTTAAAAGATAAAGTTAAATTCAAAAGTTCAGAAAGTTTTGTTTTTAAGAATACTGGGGTAATAAAAAATAAAAATGATGGTTATTGAGTTATGGCCAAGACCTTGTGTCTTCCATGGTCCTCTTGGGACCCACAGCAAAAAACCAGTGCTGTCGTTGGAGATTAGGGACCATTTCCTCTCACTTACTGGTCTCCATTCCAGTTGTGCACTTGGCAAATCAGAACAATATAAAAAAATACTATTTTAGCATAGTGTGTCTTAGACTTCAGTGCTTTGTGTTAAGAACCTCCATCACAGGTGAAAGTTAAGGGAAGAGAGGTGGTTGGTTTAAATGATGAATTTATTAATTGGGTTAGGTTTCTAAGATGTACTAACTGCTTTTTTTGGCACATGTAACAAGGGACAAAAATGCCTTTTGGTAAATTCTGCTAGCTGAAACTTCTTGTTTGGCTAATATCATAATTAAATCTTTACTGTTCAGTGTTCAAAGTATTCTCTGCTATTGCTGTTCAGGGAAAAGTATTGCCATCACTTGGTTTTTTTATTTCTTCAAACCTTGAGAAGTTATCCGTGTTTGACTGAATGGAAGATCTTTGTTTTGTGTTTCAATACTTGGAATGCTTGTGAACTTTAAACTTTTTATTGCCTTATATTAAAAAAAAAGAAGGAGGGGAGAGGGCATATTCCTGCAAGTGGTATATGATATTTTAATACATCCTGGTTTTGACTGTTCCTATGTCTCGTCCTTCAGAATTGTGTTTAATTGTGATTTACTTTTCATTCCCAAAAGGTGCCATACTTGGCAGATCAGAAACACAGGAGTGCATCTACTACAACGCTAATTGGGAAAAAGATAAAACAAATCGCAGTGGGATTGAACCTTGTTACGGTGATAAAGATAAAAGGCGACACTGTTTTGCTACATGGAAGAATATTTCTGGATCAATTGAAATTGTGAAGCAAGGCTGCTGGCTAGATGACATCAATTGTTATGACAGGTAAGTGAGTCTTCTTATAGATTTTAAATTTACTTGTAATTTTAAACTGGTTTGCCTGTCCATAATTTCTACATCCTCCGCTCTGCAAACAGGACTTGAGCCAAATGATGATACAGGAATTTGTGAAGAGTTACCTTGGTTTTAAACACACAAACACATGTATAAGTTGTGTATTTTTTTTTTCCTTTCTCACTTACATGGATTTAGGGACCTGACTTCATCTAAGTACTTTGTCTTGTTTGCAGAATAGCATGTTTTACCTTCTCTTATTTACTTACTGTATATTAAAAACCAGGTGTTTAATTTACTCTTTTTTGGGCCATTGATAATATGTTTTCTAGTGACTTGTTATTGCCAAACAATGCAAATATAGATATTGAAACAAGAACACAAGATTCTCTAGTTCAATCTTCCAAAGTCTTTAGAGTAGGAGTCAGCACTTTACGTCTGCTCTTTACTAAAACGTGGAATTATTTTATTCAACTCATTTATTATAAATAGCCTGTTTATTAAAAAGCTCACCTCAGTGACAGCTCGAAGAGTCATGGAATATTCTAAAATTCCAGTCCTTTTTTTATAACAGATGGTCTAGCGAGTACCCATGAGCAGTAACAGCAGGACTTGAGGCTGGTTAGATACTGCCTGAATAAAGGTCATGACTCTCTTAAGAAATGGTATTATATTTTTTTGAAGTATTGTACTAAGTTTTATTTGACCAAAACTGTTAATGTATGGAATGGGAGAGAATTAAGAAAATAAATGTGTAATAGATCTTCATTAAAATTTATTTAAAAATTATTTCTAGTGGTATTTTAGAAATTTTTCCTTTTATGTTTCTTAAGTGAGTAGAAGAAATCATTATCATCATTTCTCCCAAATAAAGTTTCCCCACAGACTGACCAAAACTGTTAATGTATGGAATGGGAGAGAATTAAGAAAATAAATGTGTAATAGATCTTCATTAAAATTTATTTAAAAATTATTTCTAGTGGTATTTTAGAAATTTTTCCTTTTGTGTTTCTTAAGTGAGTAGAAGAAATCATCATCATTTCTCCCAAATAAAGTTTCCCCACAGACTAGGAGGCGTTCTCCATCAATGACAGTTTGTTTGTTACTAATATTTAGTAACGACTAGGAGGCGTTCTCCATCAATGACAGTTTAAAGTTACTTGTTTGTTACTAATATTTAGTAACTGTAAGTCAATTAGGATTGGAAAGTGGTTTTTTTTCCAGTCCGTTCTCAGTTATAGCTTTGCAAAAGAAGTGGGGATATTTACCATTCCTGAACTAAGTTTATTCACGAAGTGAAATGTTCCACTTCTAGGCTGGAAATAGAATTTTTCAATTTGGAAATAAAATTAGCTTCTGTAGCATTGTTATCCCACTGGTTTCACACGTGTCTTTGAACAGTCTAAAAAAAAAAATGATATTAAATTCTCGCTTGAGCAAAGAAAAGAAGTTGAAAGAAGAAAAAAAAATGCAGGAAGGACAGCAAGGAAATAGTTGAAAAGTGGGTAAAAATTTGTCTGGCTCAAAGACCTCATTAACTGTAACTTGTCAAATTTGTCTGGCTCAAAGACCTCATTAACTGTAGGTTGTGATGAGAATGCACGCCTGTAAGTCAATTAGGATTGGAAAGTGGTTTTTTTTCCAGTCCGTTCTCAGTTATAGCTTTGCAAAAGAAGTGGGGATATTTACCATTCCTGAACTAAGTTTATTCACGAAGTGAAATGTTCCACTTCTAGGCTGGAAATAGAATTTTTCAATTTGGAAATAAAATTAGCTTCTGTAGCATTGTTATCCCACTGGTTTCACACGTGTCTTTGAACAGTCTAAAAAAAAAAATGATATTAAATTCTCGCTTGAGCAAAGAAAAGAAGTTGAAAGAAGAAAAAAAAATGCAGGAAGGACAGCAAGGAAATAGTTGAAAAGTGGGTAAAAATTAGAAATCATTAAAGACCTCATTAACTGTAGGTTGTGATGAGAATGCACGCTGCCTTGTTTGTCTGAAAGAATCATTTAAACAAAATCTTATCTGTGGGAGTGAGGAGTGGGTTACTGACCAGGGACTTACACTGTGATGAACTCCAAACAACAGCAAATTAAGAACATTAAAAAAATAAATGTTTTATGGAAGATACGGTACAGCGTAGTTGTAAGAGCTGGTTCTATAAAATAACCCTGATTTTTGAAGATGAACCCAAACCTTTGCCAATCTTCAGCTGTATTTGAAACCCTCAACTATTTCTGCAGGATTTTCAAATTCTTCTCTTTCTGCTGTCAAGTTGTCTTCTGCATGATGCCTGGTTTTCTTTCTCCACTTGAGCAGTTTCAGCTTATTTGTTAATAGGACTCCTTTCCTGCAGTTAATTCATTGAATAAACCCTGAAGTGATGTAAGTCATAATGAGCATAATGTAAGCAGTGGAAATTGTAGAAATTTCACCTTTTTCTTTTTTTTATTAAAAACAAAAATTCTCCTCCCCACTTATCTCTAATGCATGTACTCTGAGTTTACGGTTAAAGCTGTTTGATCATTTGTTTGTCCTGTTTAAATCTAGATTGTGAACTGTTCTTCAGTGTCCTGTTGGAGGTTTTGTTTAACTTCATGCTGTTTCAGTTTTAATAATATAATATGCAATATAAAATAACATTTTAATTTGTTTCTTCAGATGTAAGTTGTATTTGGGTAGTACATTATCCTGGGTGATTTAATAAAGTTCACTTCAAATTTTAAATATGAGTGTATGTTTTCTCTTGAACAGAAAAAAAAAATCAACTTAAAATTAATAACTTTTTTATTACTATCTCTTATAGGAATGATTGCATAGAGAAGAAAGACAGCCCTGAAGTGTTTTTCTGCTGTTGTGAAGGCAACATGTGCAACGAACGCTTCTTCTACTTTCCAGAAATGGAGGTCACGCAACGTAAGTTGGACGAAGACATTTATTGAAGGAGCTGCTCAGCAGAGTTCTGAAATATTTAATATCTTGCGTGTTCAGGAGATGAAACTTTTTAGAATGTTGTGGTCAGTTTTTTTCCTGCCAGGAGGTTTCTGATTCCTGGGTGAAGAGCGCTGTGTAGGGTCACATAAAGAGCTGAGAAAATTGCCAGTTCATTTCTTCAGTGGTGAAAGGTCTCTCTGCTTGAAGTGATTGAAATTGATAAAAGGTGGTTCAGCTCTTTTTGGACGGTGAGAAGGAAGGATAATCTGCAGTAATTGGCTGTTTTAAGATACAGAAGTTACTGTCAAATCTTACCTTAATTGTATAGTTAAGCTTCTGTAAGTGTCTATAAATCACTGGGCTAAAAGCCATATCATCCTCATATCCATGTACCAGCTCCTCTTCTTGAAACAAAGCTCTTGCTATTTCTTTACTTAATTGGCCCTTTGAGTTTCTCTGTAAATTGACACAGTAACCTTTAAAAAGGGGGAAAAGAATTTCCTCCCAGGTTACAAAGAAAATCAGATAGCCAGACTTAAATAATTATTTTAAAAAACAATAACTAAAAAGATAATTTGATTATTCTTGCGTATCTTCTTCCAGTCAAGAAGCTAATCTTTGTTGCGAAACTGAATAATGTTAATAACTGAACTGAAAACAGCAAATGTCTTGAGTACCAAATAGCCGGAGGAAGTTGTTTATGAAATTAAATAACATTTTCCATGAGATTAAAATAGCCCTTGTTGACCCAAGAGGTATTCTTGTCATTTTTGCCAGTGATACTGCTAAGGCAATAATTGACATTATTCTTCTTCGCTCTCATGAAACCTCCGTTGCCCCGGGGGCCTGTGGCTGCCCCTGCTGCCTCAAAGTGGGGCTTCTCTGGAGGCTTTCTGGAGGTCCTACAGCAGCATCTTCAGCCAGAGGACTCTCACTTTCAGCAAACCAACAGCACATAGAAATGTTGGCAGATCATTTCTGGCCTGTCCTACTTACTAATGGCATCTTCTTTGTGCGCGTTCCAAAGACTAAACCTCTGTATCGATTCTTTTTCCATCCATTCAGTGATGACATTCTTGGTTTCTTTTCAAAATACCAACACCTCGTGCACGCTGCAGGTGGATGGAGCTTCTAAGTGAGATGTGCTGATGGGTAAATCTGGGGATCTAAGTTATTTCTGTGCTTTCCAAAACACCACCTCTTAAATATGTGTCTGTTTCTATTAGAATACGCTGTTTAATCAGGTATTTTCAGCCTGTTGTGCTGGCCATTGGAATGGGCTGCCCAGGGAGGGGGTTGAGGCACCATCCCTGGAGGTGTTCAAAAGACGGGTTGATGTAGTGCTGGGAGGTCTGGTTTAGTGATGATGTTCCTTGTTTGTTGTGTGGGTGTCTATTTTTGTCAGTTAGGTTGACGGTTGGACAAGATGATCTTTAAGGTCCCTTCCAACCTAGAAGATTCTGTGATTCTGTGATTGATTCTTTTTCCATCCATTTGGTGATGGCATTCTTGGTTTCTTTGCAAAACACCAACACCTCATGCACGCTGCAGGTGGATGGAGCTTCTAAATTAGACATGCTGATGGGTAAATCTGGGGATCGAAGTTATTTCTGTGCTTTTAAATATGTGTCTGTTTCTGTTAGAATACGCTGTTTAATTTTCAGCCTGTTGTGCCGATTGCAAGAACTTTTAGAAAATGGGGATGCTAGATATTTCACACACTGGATGACTTTTGTTTCTTAAAACCTGTATCCTCTTTTTCTTTCTTCAGCAACTTCGAATCCTGTCACACCCAAGCCACCTCTGTTCAACACCTTGCTTTATTCGCTGGTGCCTATCATGGGAATTGCAGTCATTGTGCTCTTCTCCTTCTGGATGTACAGACATCACAAGCTGGCCTATCCTCCAGTGCTCGTCCCGACCCAAGTAAGTCTCTGTGTTACCATTTTGTGGCAGTTTTTTAATGATAAAATCATTTTCTGAAGAGGAGAGAAAAAAGCTTGGAACTGGGATGCAGGTATCGGTTAATAGGGATGTAAAGAAATTCTTCAGCTCAGCTCGTGGCCCTGCTGGGATTCCTCTCAGCTTTTTTCCTCTTCCTTGTTTACGTATTTTCTGTTTTGTCTTCAAATGTTTCAGTTTTCGCAGTGTTTGTGTTTTACTTAGAAAATATTAGGAGATTGTGGTCTCCAAATGAGATCTGTAAACTGGCTGCGTTACATCAAAACAACCCTTTTTTGCTGCTTGCGCGTGGTTCCTGCTGTTGTCAGGCTCCAGCTGATTCCGTAGGTGTCATTAATACTAGTACTAGAATTTCTCTTCTTTCAGTTACTTCTGGAGATGAAATGGAGATTAGAAGGCATTTATGAAAAGAGTTAAGATGGTAAAATGTGGTAGCGGAAACACAGATCAGCAGCTTATCCAGAGACCCCAAAATTTGGGGTTTTGCAGTAGGAATTGAACTTAGGCTCCTTAACTCAGTGCAGCGACCCCTGGGAATAGACTCCCTCTCTCACAACGATGATAGGCTGATGCTATTTATGATTAAATACAATTTAAGCACTTGTTATTTTGGGTAGGTTTGTCTTTAAAAAGGATTGATACGCGTTCGCTCCGTCCTGCCGGCTTCTGTGATATTTCTGTTTGACTTCAGGGCGTTCCAGGAAACATTATTGCCTGTGGTTGATAAAGAAAATCCTTTCGGTTTCAGTTTCGTAGTAAGAGAGAAGAAAAATTTGGGGGGAGGCAGTGGGCATATGTTCTTGCCAAATGAGAAGAACATAATTTAGAGGAAAAAAGTATGTTTCCTGTCCTTGCGGAAAGTATTGCAGATCCTCAAACTTCATGCAATCTGTTAGCATAATTATTTCATCCATCTCCATTTTTTCTCCTGTATTTGAGACTTTACATCGGCCCCGTAGTCTTCACTGTAAGATCAGACCTGTAACTGCCAGTTGTGCAAATAATTTCAGCATGTGATTTCCTTTCTAAATTTAAAGAAATTAAGTAATGCTCACAGTGACAGAAAAGCAAGCAAATTCTAAATATGTGTGAGGTATCAAGCACTTGAGTTTTGATATTCTTCCTCCTTTTTATTGCAGTTCTTTTCTTGCATGGTTTATGTTTGGTACAGGAGTGGACACGTCATAAATTTTTAATAAATAGGGTAATAACCTGTTTTGTTAATGCTCAGATTGTATCTCTTGGGATAAGTATATGTTGGTGCTTGAGCTAGTTATGGTGTAATAACATTTTCTTATCTTGTGGTGAATAGGCATTAAGGTTTGATGTGGAAAGTCAGGAAAAGCTACTTCTGCCTGAAAAACTAAATGAAATTATTATGGAAATAGAACTTATAAATATTCTCCCATATGGAGCAGAGCAGTATTTCCCACTTTAAATGTGATTAGAGCTGATTTGAACAGGAGGCAGAGGAAGCAGGAAGAGAGGGGAAAAGTATTAGTAACTTTATAACCACGAAACAAACATTTAAATATTTATGCAATTAATACATTAAATATTCCCATTACGGTGTAATAATTAGGGCATGAGCAGAGTTTGTAGGCGAATGGCTTCTTTTCTAACTCTTTCTGTAGCAAAGGGTAGAATGCATAGATGAGATGTATAGCAGATCCTCACTAGGGAACAGGGACTCCTCTGGAGGAGATAAAGGTTATCTCCTTTTACTGGGTTTATTCTGGGTGGCGATGGGTGCGGTACGCCCTGGTACTAACCTTGCTTTCTGTTGAAATTCGAGGGGAGATGAGGAATAAGTAAAAGGTAGACATAAGGAAATGCTGAAGAATGTGACATATTCGAAGGATTTAGGAGAAGGGGGGATAAATAAATAAAAAAAAAATCAGCAAAAGGGAAAGAAATTGTTTGGAATATTTCAAAAAAAAAGGAAGAAATATGCTAGAAGAAATTTTTGAACCTGGAGTGAAATATAAAGGACAGACATCCGAGAAAATTCGAACAACTTTGTATTTCTTTTGGAAATAAAGTAGTTTCATGGTCTGTGCGTGTCCCAGGCAGGCAGCTCCTACACTCAGGTCACAGCTATGGGGATGAACTGAACTTTATATTCCCTTTGAATAGGCAGATAATTATTTTTAAATTTCTGGTAGTATATTTAGCTTAGAGGTTTGGTTTAAGACTGGAAAGCAGTAGATATTATTGTTTAGTTCTTGCTTTCTTCCAGCTATTTGGGCAGAGAGGTGAAGGGGTCACTAGAGTGGGATGTTGCTGAGATGCTCTTTGCTGGTGTTGGGGGTGGCCGTGCTGGGCAGGTTCCACGGCGTGTGACAGGGACAGACTGTGTCCTCCCAGGTGCCACCACCAGCACGGGGACATGTCCCCTCTCCTGCAGCTTCTCCAAGTCTTGGCTTCCCCACTGCTTTGTCTCTTGGTTTTGCTGGGAACTGTGTGCCTCACTGCAGTGTGTGGGGTGCTAGCCAGTGAAAGCTGTCAAATTTTATAAAATCTGTCACTCTTTAAATTCTTAATGAGTTATTAGCAAATGTAAGTTTGCTAAATACATATGTGTGTATGTAAAACAGTTTGAAAGGACTATTTCGTTTGCTTATTTATATTTGATTTAATCATGCAGCAAACATATTCTCATGTCTGATCAAGTTCACAAAGAAAATGGATTAGTATTTAAAATATTTCAATCTGTGTGTTTTTGTATAAAAAGAGTTACTCTCACCTGGTTACCCACCAGTTACACTCAAAAGCTCCACCATATTTGCAGACAAAAGCTTTTACTCTCAAATTAGGTGCAGTTTAGTTTTCCCCCACAGCATCTAGGTTGAGGTTCACCAAGGGCAGGAGCCCGTGGGTGCCACCAGCCCCCTGCAGTGCTCCAGGCTGGGGGCAGAGGGGCTGGAGCTGCCCCATGGAAAAGGACCTGGGGGTGTTGGTCACCTGTGGGCTGAACAGGAGCCAGCAGTGTGCCCAGGTGGCCAAGAAGGCCACCAGCATCCTGGCCTCGATCAGGAACAGTGTGGGGAGTAGGACCCCAGAGGTGATGGTCCCCCTGGGGCACTGGTGAGGCCCCACCTTGAGGGCTCTGACCAGTTTTGGGTCAGACCTTGAGGGGCTGGAGCGGGTCCAGAGAAGGGCAACGGAGCTGGTGAGGGGTCTGGAGCACAAGTCTTGTGAGGAGAGGCTGAGGGAGCTGGGGGTGTTCAGCCTGGAGAAAAGGAGGCTGAGGGGAGACCTTCTCGCTCTCTCCAACTCCCTGAAAGGAGGGTGTAGCCAGGGGGGGTCGGTCTCTTCTCCCAAGGAACAGGCCATGGGACAAGAGGAAATGGCCTCAAGTTGCACCAGGGGAGGTTCAGGTTGGAGATTAGGAGAGACTTTTACAGGGAAAGGGTTCTGAAGCCTTGGAATGGGCTGCCCAGGGAAGGGGTGG